AAAAAAAAAAAAAAATATCCAATCCACATAGATCCAACAAAGCATGACCATAAAGTAGGCGAAATCCTCAATCCGGAAAAATGTAGGAGAGCTGACTACTGAGATTTGGTTTATGAATGCATCATATCATATGAAATGTAATGATCAAAGACAAGTTCAGGAATTGCACTAAAATGGAACAGAAAAGNAGATTTGGTTTATGAATGCATCATATCATATGAAATGTAATGATCAAAGACAAGTTCAGGAATTGCACTAAAATGGAACAGAAAAGTAAAATGAAAATTAAAGGACGCACTCTCTAAATTGCAAAAATCATTTCAAATATTCTATATCAAGCTAGGAAAATTTTCAAACTTCAGGGGTGATTGCACTCTATGGTGCAATCCCAAAAGATTACCTATATTAACAATTGAAACAACTAAAAAGGCAAGAAATAAATGAGGAAAAAATAGAACCCTTTGTTGTGGACATGACCTATTTCTCTGAATATAAACAATTAGAAGGCTCTATACAGCCTGCTGATCTCAAAGAGGATTTCATAATTCCTCTATAATGTATCCCTGTGGGCTTGCCCAATCCTAAAAAAAAATTCTATTCATTCACCATATATAGCACTATGTCCTTGCCTGAATATCATCCGTGAACTTGTACTCACCCAATAAATGTAATTTGACCAGTTCTTTAGGCAAGATGTTCCAAGGATTTCGCACTATTAACAAATGTCGCGCTTTTCTCAAAACCCTCAAGCAAAAGAATCCGTACTGCTTCTAAGCCATTTAGGAGAGTGAAATGCAACTGGAAAAAAAAATTAGAACATTAAATATAAATCACTTGTCAGCATCTGAATTCTACTAATTCCTTACAAATATCAAGCCCCTTTCAGAGAAAATGTGGAAGATCATCATACCTCTTCATGTTCTTGTTTGTTAAATGGGCGAAGAACAAAATTCATGGGATCCATTTTGCCTGGAGGCCTTCCAATGCCTACAAATATTTCACAATATCCATGATCACGTAAAGAACATGCATAATGGCAGACGGATTTTGGGTTTCTCAGTACCTATTCTTAAACGAGGGAAATCACGGCTCCCTCTAAAGTGGTCGATCACACTCCTCATCCTGCAAGAGATGGCATCTTCCTTACAAATTTGTTTAGGTATACAGATGAATTTTCTTAAAAAACTAGGCCGCAAGCAACACAACAATTGAGTTAAAAACCGACTTCCCAAAGATTGTGTCAAGAAGGAAAGTGCCCTAAAGGTTTATTCACCAGATATTCTAATCATAGCAATGTTGCAAAACATTTGGCCATGTTAACTCAAGTGATAAAAGCCACAGTTACAAGAAGAACCCATCAATTTTAATGAAATCATCCAAACGCATTTTAATACGGGGGAATTGTGCTTCCTTGTCACCATGGTTCTTTTTTGTTTACATATTCACAAAGCAGAATATTCATATCTTGACATCTTTTCAGCTACATGCATTCTTAATGGCAATGCATAAGGTCAATGCTTATAGAGAAACCCAAGATGTAATGCAATAGTGGATTCACATTCTTCTTAGTGTGCATCAAAGACCTATATTAGCAATTACAGAAAATGCTTTTGTAACATAGTAGATACCCATTGTGTCCTCCATGGCCGCCTTTTGGTAATAACCTCAACTTTGCAAAAGGCAAATCTAAGTCGTCAAATATCTGTAGACAGGAGAATCATGAGCCAGGGATTTTATAGAGGTAATGCTCAAGTCAACAAATAGTGGTGATTACTTTACCACAAGTACTTGCTTCAGCGGAATCTTGTAATATGAAGCAATTGCTCCAACCTTTCAAAATGGGTCAAAAAATGTAGCAAATAAACGAGACCATATTTATTAAGTGAAAAATATTTCTAGCCGAGCTTACTTACAGACTCACCGCTTGCATTCATGAAGGTTTGCGGTTTAGCAAGCATAACTGGAACATTCCCAACCAAACCTACAAATCAAAAAGAAACGGGAAAACAAAAAAAAAAAATAATTCTGTCAAGCCCGAGAATTTTATTATCAGATATTAAAAAGAAAAATTTTGAATCACTTTTGTATTTTGTCCATGGATTCCGAGTTACATTCAGTAGTTTTCAAGTAATCTCCAGAGTATATTTTCCAACAGCAATTGAGAGTAAACAAACCAGAAAGTTTTTTTGTCGGCTTTCGGAGTTCTTCAAGAACAATAACACAGAACCAAAAAGCAGTGTGCACATGTTCTCAAGGAACATGTTTTATGAAGCTTTTGACTCAACCATGGTTACTTCCATTTACCTCTGCACGAACCTCAGATGTAAATCTTATATCTTCATCTCAGTGTAAACAATAATTTTCCATCTTGATCTTATAAATTTTGCATGTAGTACTCGAGCAGAACCATTCAACAAAACGAATGAACCATTACTTGTAACAGTTATTAAGTCCGTACAATTGCTGCCAATAAAGAGCAAGACAAAAATTCCGTATAGTGGTGATAAAAATCCAGCATATGACTTTAAGCTGTTTACTGGCTTAAAAAAGTGATTTCAATATCAAGGAAAGACTAAGTTCTCTCAACATCTCCAATAGGATTATACTCTCCTCTGACATGATCTAAAATAACCTTGTCAAACTACACATTGTTTTAGATGGTATCATATAGAAGGCCAAATGCTTTTTTTTTTTATCAAAGGATAACCACAAACACTTGCACTTAAAAGTGTAAGGCCAAATGCTTACTAAAGCATGAAGTTCAACAACTACAGAATTTTAGTACACTCAACAGTGGGTGCCTTTCGCACCGGGCTGCTCTTTTTTCCTCAAGCTATTTAATAATTACAGTTTCTGTGAAGAAACTTGCTAGAAATCATAATACAGTTTTAAGATGATTCCATAGAAAAGTTTAACCTCTAAATAAATGATATTGTTTCCCAAAATTGGCAAACACAGTTTTTTTAGTCAATAAATACAGTTGAATTTATTAATAAGTTGCGTACATCTGACCATCCTACACATGGCAAAAGCCTTGTGGATTGGACTATTATTTTTCTTTATATTGTAAATTTGTAATCCCTCCACTAAGTTGATGAACGCATTTTCATTTTTCTTCTTCACATGTATTTTGCTGTTAACTCTTAGAAAACCCAATTACTCGGAATCTTTACTCTCAACGGTTTTATAAGTATCTTCAGATCTTTTCTTTTTTGGTGTGGCACAGACCAGACATAAGTTATTCAGTCCACAGTGTCCTTTTATCATTGTATTTAAATATACAATGGACTGGCTCCAAACAAAGTAAGTGTGCATAAGAATTTCTGAACTTCTGTTCCACTTTAAATAGGATAGACCTTCCAATTGTTAGCATAGACAGTAAAAACAAAAGATCCAAAATATCACTTGATTTTTTCTTTTTCTTTTCTTTTTTTGAGAACAACTTATAAGAGGAAAGAATCCCGTTTTCTAAGACTATTCACCCTGTAATGTCCAGGTAATAGTTAAAGTAGTAATAGCAACTGTACTAGGGTTAAAGAAAAGAGGGAGAAAGAAAAAAAGAAGAGGAAGAGAGACAGAAAGGGTAAGAAAAATTTGTGTATAAAAATATTGTCCTGCACCCTCTTATTTATAGTAGACCGATATCATGGGTAACTACAACATTACCCTACACTTCTAATAATAGTATATAAGAATTCTAATACTCCCCTCAAACTAGAACATAAAGATCAAATATGCCAAACTTTGAACAAAGTTTATTGAAGATAAATTGAGCTCAAAGTTTAGTAAAGATATCACCTAGCTGATCACTAGACTTGATGTATAGTGTGATAATTTCTTTTCGCATCAAGAGATCACGGATAAAATTATAATCTACTTCGATGTGTTTAGTAAACTCATGATATACCAAATTACTAGCAGTGAAAAAAATTGTCCGGTTGTCACAATACATTTATTGGAGAGGGCACAGTGATAACTATAACATGAAGTAGGGAAAGGACCCATAACATCTCACAAGTAGTATGAGGCCAGACCCAATACTTATGTTCTATTTCTTACTATGCCAAGTAAACAAATGTACAAAACCCTAAGGACAATATAATGAAAAGCCAACAATAGTTATGGATGATGAAGGATGATATAATAATCCTTTACCAGTACTCTTTTCAGATATTGAAGGCTACAACAAGCGGCATCATGATGAGTCTTACGAGAAGCATGCATGAACTGACTCACCACATAAACATATGTAATATCAGGACGTGTAATTGTCAAATAGATTAGCTCACCAACTAATCTCCGATGACGCCCTAAGTCATAACAAACTTCTTCTGTCTNATGTGTGATTAATAAGATAAACTTAAGTGAAAAAAATATCAACCCAATATGGTTTTGGTACATGCATGTTAAGCATTAAGGTGCAGATAGCATCTAACAAATTATGATGTTTGGGAAAAGGCGTGTGATTAATAAGATAAATTGAAGTAAAAACAATATCAACCCAATATAGTTTTGATACATGCATGTTAAGAATTAAAGTGTAGGCAACATCTAACAGATTATGATGTTTATGTTCGTTAATGCCATTTTGTTGGGAGGTATGTGAATAGGTAGTTTAATGGATAATGTCACAGTTAGCAGAAAAGGTTTTCATTAGCATCGAGTATACTCAAAAACATTATTAATATCTTTAATACGTGTATCAAATTAAACCAAAATTTTATTATAACAAATGGTAAAGGAAAAATTAAGAACAAACAAACCAAAGGTTAATGGTATAAACTAAGTAGGATAAATATTGCCAATCCCATGTAAGGGTCAAAAAGAACCATCAACTAATATGATTCATGACTTAAACAAACAAAAATTAGAGGATAGAGAAGAATTACAAGACATATGAGCACCAGCTCCTGAATCAATGATCCACGACGATGACGAAGGTTAAGTAACCATAAATGCAGAGTTACCTCCATTAGTGACACCGGCAGTAGGAGCGCACAAATGTGGAAAAAGTGAGGATAACTACTAGATAAGATGACTAAGCTGAGAAAAATATCATCATGAGAGACAAAAGTAGATGAAACTAGACCATTGTTAGAATTTGGATGCACTAGAGAACTTAAAGTATCATCAGAAACCTGATTAGCATATGTGGGTCTCCCATACTTGTCACAACAATAATCAACAATATATCCTATGCCACCATAATAAGTACATTTCCACCAAGAATGATTACTTAGACCAGAACAACCACCATGTCCATTATGGCCAGTACCTCGACCATCACAACAGCCACTACANATAAAAAAGGCAACAAGATCTCCCCCTGATTAGGAGAGACTAAATTTGGAGAAAAAGTATATCCTGCCGCAAAAAGAAGGAAAATGACTCAAAAAAGGAAACAACAACACTAATACAGCATCAATGAGAAATAGGGTCATAACATTGATAACCTTTATGAGTACGAGAATATTCCAAAAACAAACACTTGACTGATCGAGATGACATTTTATCACAACCACAACCAAGCAAATGGACAAAGGAAAAAAAACCAAAAATATGACAAATTGAACCAAATAGTGGTGTAGTAAGATATAGCAAGGAGAAAAGAAATTTGTTGTCCAAAATGGAGAAACATGTGTGATTAATAAGATAAACTTAAGTGAAAAAAATATCAACCCAATATGGTTTTGGTACATGCATGTTAAGCATTAAGGTGCAGACAGCATCTAACAAATTATGATGTTTGGGAAAAGGCGTGTGATTAATAAGATAAATTGAAGTAAAAACAATATCAACCCAATATAGTTTTGATACATGCATGTTAAGAATTAAAGTGTAGGCAACATCTAACAGATTATGATGTTTATGTTCGTTAATGCCATTTTGTTGGGAGGTATGTGAATAGGTAGTTTAATGGATAATGTCACAGTTAGCAGAAAAGGTTTTCATTAGCATCGAGTATACTCAAAAACATTATTAATATCTTTAATACGTGTATCAAATTAAACCAAAATTTTATTATAACAAATGGTAAAGGAAAAATTAAGAACAAACAAACCAAAGGTTAATGGTATAAACTAAGTAGGATAAATATTGCCAATCCCATGTAAGGGTCAAAAAGAACCATCAACTAATATGATTCATGACTTAAACAAACAAAAATTAGAGGATAGAGAAGAATTACAAGACATATGAGCACCAGCTCCTGAATCAATGATCCACGACGATGACGAAGGTTAAGTAACCATACATGCAGAGTTACCTCCATTAGTGACACCGGCAGTAGGAGCGCACAAATGTGGAAAAAGTGAGGATAACTACTAGATAAGATGACTAAGCTGAGAAAAATATCATCATGAGAGACAAAAGTAGATGAAACTAGACCATTGTTAGAATTTGGATGCACTAGAGAACTTAAAGTATCATCAGAAACCTGATTAGCATATGTGGGTCTCCCATACTTGTCACAACAATAATCAACAATATATCCTATGCCACCATAATAAGTACATTTCCACCAAGAATGATTACTTAGACCAGAACAACCACCATGTCCATTATGGCCAGTACCTCGACCATCACAACAGCCACTACAACCATCACAACTGCCACTACGACCATCACAATTACTCTCACTAGATATCAAGGTATAGGACTCTTGTATAGATGAAAACATCCTATGATTAAGAAAAGCATGCTGAAGGCGAGAAACACAAGGCATCAGTCTAGTTCAAGCAACCACTAGAGAACCTTTAACATTGTTGGAAGTTGCCATTAAGAACCCCACAAATAATTATGTAGCCAACAGGAAACTCTGCGGGAAACAAAAGGACCAATAAGCGACCAGGAATCAACAATCATGCCATANTAGTTCAAGCAACCACTAGAGAACCTTTAACATTGTTGGAAGTTGCCATTAAGAACCCCACAAATAATTATGTAGCCAACAGGAAAC